ACGGTGTTCCAGAGGGGGTTGATCTTGGAGCGCCGGTTGTACAGGACCCGCGTCAGCCACGAGTGCAGCGCCCGCGGGCTGTAGCTGTGCCCGTCCCCCAGCAGCTCCTCGTCTATCCTGAAATTCCAGGGAATTCCGGCCGTGTAGATCAGGGATTCAGGGATTGGAGAGCGGGGATTCGGGGATTGGAGAGCAGGGATTTGGGGATTGGAGAGCGGGAATTGGAGAGCAGGGATTGGAGAGCAGGGATTCGGGGACTGGAGCAGAGCAAAAAATGCCGCTGAATCCAGGGATGGAATGCCAGGAAATTCAGGGATTTGTGCTCAAGGAATTCCAAATAATTCAGGGATTTTGTGCCCAAGGAATTCAGAGGAATTCATGGATTTGTGTTCAAGGAATTCTGGGATTGGTGCTCAAGGAATTCCAGGATAGGAGCAGAAGAATTCTGGGGATTGGCGCACAGAAAAGACTGAGGATGGGAAATTCCCATATTCCACTGGAATTCCGGGGTGGGGACTTTGCAGGAATCAGTCAAGGATTTGGAGATGGGAAATTCCCAAATCCCTGGGAATCAGCTGGGGATTGTGGGATGGAGAATCTCAGAATTCCCAAGACATTTTGGGCTGGGAATTCCCGGGAATCCATCTGGGATTTTGGGATGGGGAATTCCCAAATTCCTGGGAATCTTACACCATCTGCTCCAGGAGCTGCCGCAGGTGCTGGAAATCCGCCAGGTCCCCGGAGGCTCCGAGCACGGTGGAGTCGTTGACCTTGAGGAGCCGGGAGATGCCCCGGAACCGCGCCAGGGATCCGAAGGATCCCACCGTGTCCGCGGCCAGCATCACCCCCCCGGAGAACTTCAGCCCCAGCACCGACGTCCCGGTCACCATGGGGCTCCTGGCACACCGAGATCCGGGTCACACCGGTGTGGGTCCCAGTCACACCGGTGTGGGTCCCAGTGACACCAATCTGGGTCTCAGTCACTCCAGTTTGGGTCCCAGTTTCCCTGTTCTGCGCCCCCGGAGTCTCCCCGGCATTCCCGGATTTTCTGCCCCTTCCCTTTCCCCCTCCCCAGTACCCCCCAGTTCTNAAAAAAAAAAAAAAAACCTTGGATTCACTGTGTTGGTATTTCCTTGGAATTCTCTCTTGTGGGTGGATATTTTTTGGGAATTTTCTTTACCTCACTTGTACCATAATTCCTGGTTTTTAGCGGTGAGAATTTGACGTCGTTTGTGCCCAGGTTTTTTTCCAAGAAGACTAAAAGTCCCTGGATTTAACTTCCAAAAAAATTGGGGGAATTCTTCTTTCTTTTTTCCTTGACTTTTGTTTGGAATTTAACCCAGAAAAATCCCTGTTTCTTACAGAAAATTCCTTCAGCTTGGCTGCGAAGATTCAGTTACTTTGGGGATTTTTAATGGAAATTGGGAATTTGGATAGAATTTTGGTGGAATTTAAGGAGTTTTGAGGGAATTTGGCTTGGGAATTGTGGAGCCACCATTCCCCGCCAGCAGTTTTTGGGATTGGCGCTGCTTTTCCTGCCCAGAACTCAATTTTCCCAATTTCTCCCCAAAAACTTCCCATTGGAGGGGCAGAAAACCCCAGCTTCTCCTTGGATTTCCCCCTTTTGGATTGTTAATTATCAACTTTATTTAAAAAATAACCATCCTGGAAAACCGCACCTTCCTTAGGGTCGAAAAATCTGGGATTTGTGACTAAAACTGTGACGAAAAACCCGAAAAAATCAATGAAAAGAAAAAGATTTTGGGTTGATTTTTCACTGCCAGCTCTGATTTTTTACCGGAATTTGCATGTTTTTTGGGAAATTTTTTTTTTTTTTTAATTTTATTTTAAAAATTCTTGGAATTCCCAAATTCCAGAGGCACCTGGCACCTGTTTTTCCATAAGATTTGTGGAGGTTTTTTTTTTTGGGTCTTTTCCCGGAAGGAAAACAGGAAAAAAAATTGAAAAAAATATTCGAAATAAATAAAATTTAAAAATTAAAAAAAATATGGATCATCTTGCAGTTGTACAGGAGTGGGAAATGTGGAATAAAAGCAGGGAAATGGATTTATAAATAAACAGTGTTTTTATTGTGGAAAAAATTCCTTCATTACCACAGGATTTGGGTGGAAAAATCCTGGATTTAATTAATTAATTTTTTCCGTGGAGAATTCCTGGGTTCTTTTAAGGAAAAGTTGGGAAAATGCTGCCAGAGGAATTTTGGGAATGGGGAGGGGAAAAATTACATTGTAATTGGATTTTTGTGGCCTCGAAATCCCTCCAGGTTTGGGATTTTGAGGAAAAATCCCATGGAATGCCCCAAAATCATGGACAAGGGTTTAGGGATTCCTGGGCTCCATCCCAGAAGGGCTTTTCCCACCTCAGAAATTCCACAGTTTCGGTTAAAATTGGGATCTGGGGCCACAGCATCCACCCAGAATTCCCTGAAATCTGTGTTTTCCAGGAGAATTCCTACAGTTTTTTGACGATTCCCAAAGAACAAACACACAAATTGGTCTTAAACAATCGATTTTATTCCCAAAAAATGCCAGATTTGCCATTCCAGAGGGAAGGATAAAAATGGGGATTTGACGAGGCCGGAGCAGCTCCTGGAGATCACTCGAAACCTCTGCAAAACAGAAAAAAAGGGAAAAATGGGGGTTAGAGGGGCAGAAAAACCACCTGGATGTTCCTCAGGGAGCAGGAATTGTCACCCTGGATCTCAGAACACTTGGATGTCCCTCTGGAACTCCCAATCCCGCTGTGTCCAGGTGGGAATGACCTGGATGTGCCCAGAACCCCCGGAATTCCAACTGCCGACATTCCGGGTGGGAATTACCTGACCACGTGGGCGATGTCCCAGTTGGCCTCCAGGGTCAGGGGTCCCTCCAGCTCCACGCCCTTCTCCGTCACCGTGGCGACCTCGTACTGTGGGAAAAGGCCGGAATTCTTCAATTCCCACCCGGAATCCCATGAGAAAAACCCCGGAATTCCTCAATCCCCACCAGAATTCCACAGGAAAAACCCTGGAATTCCTCAATCCCAGCCCCGGGATTCCGTGGCTAAAACCCTGGGATTAGGATGGGTTTGGGGTGGATGCCATGGATTTGGGGATGGATTTTGGGGTGAATTCCCAGGGTTTTGGGATGGACTTGGGATACAAACCCTATTAAAGGAGAGAGCATCCCTGTAGTAGAGCACCCTCGGGCAGCGCTCCAGCAGCTCCCAGGATTGGGGTGGGTTTGGGGTGGATCCCACGTACGGCACAGATTTTGGGGTGGGTTTTGGGGTGGATTCCTGGGATACAAACCCTGTTGAAGGAG